TCTGTCTTCGCTCCCAGCAGGTATATGCAAATTAACCGCCATCCTTGTTGGTGGTTAATTTGCATATCACGCTGATTAGCCAATGGGAGGTGTAGTGAAGGTATGGTCAATTACCCTGTTTGTCTATTATTAGATTAGATAAGATTAATTATTATAATTGTTTAGTGTACTTTTCTGTATTTCTCGTTTCACCTCTTCTGACTTTTTTTCCTGAAATGATTGTAACTTTTATTTTTTCTTATTTCTTTTCTCTCCTTAACCCACCAACACTAGTTTGAATATTTTTTTTTCAATATTTATTTACTTATTTATTTTTGTTTTCAATTTTTAGTACAAAATTTAACATGCTATGAGATATAACTTACATATAATTCACCCTTTAAAGTGTGCTCCCTTTAAAGTATTCACAGAGTTGTGCAACCATCACCATAATAAATTTTAAATTATTTTTATTAGCCCCCAAAGAAACCTCATATTCATTAGTAATCTCTCCCACCTTCCTCCCAACCCCACCAGCAGTAGGCAACTACTACTCTATTTTCTTCCTCTATAAATTTGCCTATTCTGGACAATTAAATGCAATAAATGAAATAATATATATATTTAAAAACTGACCTCTTTCTCTTAGTATATAATTTGCAAGGTTCATCCATGTTGTGGCAGAACCTTATTAATACTTTCTAATATTTTTATGGCAGAATGACATTCCATTGCATGGCTTTACAATATTCTAATTATCCATTCTTCAGTTCTTGGACATTTGGGTTGTCTGCATTTTTTTTAGCTATCATGAATAATGCAGCTATGAATATTCATGTACAACTTTTTATGTTGATTTGTGTTTTTATTTCTCATGGATATATACTTGAAAGTGATTGCAACATTATATGGTAATTCTATATTTAACTTTTTGAGAACTGCCAAACTATTTTCCTGTTGAACATTTTTCTAATGGCTAATGATGGTAAAGCACCTTTTCATGTGCTTATTGGTCACTCATATATCTTTTGGAGCAATGCTAATTAGATACTTTGCTCATTTTTAAATTGGGTAATGTGTTTTTATCACTAAGTCATGAGTTCTTTCTATATTCCGGATATAAACCCTTTGTCAGATATATGTTTGCAAATATTTTCTCCTAATAAGTCAATTATCTTTTCACTTCCCTGATGACATCTTTGATGCAGGTTTCCCACCTCATCTGGGCAAACATATCCTTTTTATTTATTTATTATTATTTTTAAAATAATTCTTTATTGTATAAAGTATTACATATGCCTCTTTTTCCCCCCCTGACCACCCCCTACTGGCTCCAGGCCTTCAGCACCCTATTGTCTGTGTCCATGGGTTATGCACATACTCATTCCAAGTCTTTGGTTGATTACCTCCCACCCACCCACCCTCCCCAGCCTTCCCTATGAGATTCCGCACTCTGTTCCATGCTTCTATGTCTCTGGATCCACTCCGTTCATCAGTTTATTTTGTTACTTAGATGACACATATGAGTGAGATCATGTGATACTTGTCTTTCTCTGACTGACTTATTTCAGTTAGCATGATACTCTCCAGGTTCCTCCATGCTGTCTCAAAGGGTAAGATATTCTTCTTTTTTACTGCTGCATAGTATTCCATGGTATAAATGTACCACAGCTTATTTTATCCACTCATCTACTGATGGACACTTGGGCTGTTTCCAGATCTTAGCTATTGTAAATTGTGCTGCTAGGAACATAGGGTTGCATACACTCTTTCTGATTGTTGTATCAGTTTTCTTAGGTTATATTCCTAGAAGTGGGATCACTGAATCAGATGGCAGTTCCCTATTTAATTTTTTGAGGAAACTCTATACTGTTTTCCATAGTGGCTGCACCAGTCTGAATTCCCACCAGCAGTGTACTAGAGTTCCCTTTTCTCCACATCCTTGCCAGCACTTGTCATTTGTTGACTTGTTGATGGTAGCCATTCTGACAGGTGTGAGATGGTACCTTGTTTTTATTTTATGAAGTCCAATTTACCAAAGTTCTCTTTGGAACATTGATGTGTCTTATAACTGTAATAGTAGTTAGATTAGGATCTTGGAATTGAGGATCTTAGACAAATCTTTTTTCTCCCAAACACAAATATTAATATGAATAAATGCAAGTAGATGTATCACACTCTCTGTGTCTTAGTGGTTTACGATCTATCTACATAGAAAAATATGTGCAATTAAAATGCTGGGTAAGGTTTACATTTATTTAAACTTTTCATATGGGCTTGAAAGTTACTCATTAAAATCCTTCCTGCCACCACCAACCTTAATTGATATTTTCTTTTATCTAATTTGGGCCTGCCTGAATCTTTTTTCAGACGTGTTTTTCCCAATTAAAAAAATGCATACTTTTGGCATTTCAATTATAAAGGAATGGCAAATTAGATCTGCCTTACTGAAAAGTTAACGTTATCAATCTTTCTTTGAATCTTATGATTTGATTAAAATAGAGACAAAATTGGCTGATTTTATTTTCCCTTTTTAAAAATTTCTAAATTCATTGTGGTCAGCATTCTAATGCCTATCAAGATGCTCAAGTGTAAGAGTAGCCAAGGGAAACCAGTCAGAGAAGAAGTTCCTGATCAGAGATATAATGATTATGCAAGCAGGCCTGGGGATATTTTTGGAGAGATAGAAAGAGTAGGTTCGTAGGATAATTCTGCAGAGCATGAAAGTAAATAGTTCCTTTTTATTTTTCTCCCCGTTGGGAACTTCAGAACTAAATGTTTCCCATGGCTGGGTTGGCCTTCAGGAAGAGAATCAGGCACCTGCTAATCCAGAGTCAACAGAACATATGATGCTTCTCTGGTCACTGCCAAGTCTAACTGGTATTTGGCATTCACAGTAATGTACAGTTTCATCCGAGGAGAGTTAGCTATGCTAGAGGATAGTGCCATAGAGGTAAATGAAACATTTCCCCCCTCTAAGCTGAATTAGTAAAGCAAAAAAAATTAAAAAATTAAAGAGTTACCTAAAAGAATTGCAACTTTAATATGCTGTGACAGCCACTGGAGAATCTCCTCCCAGTCTGCTAGACAGAGTCTTACGTAACATAAGGTAACCATGGGAGTGACATTGCACCACTTTTGAAATATTTTATTGGTTAGAAACAAGGTATAGCCTCTGTCTGTGCTCAACAAGAGAGGATTATACAGAGGCATGGCTCACAGTGTGTGTCCACCACAGTGGGGAATGCAGTTTTTAGCTTTCTAGGCTCTGCGGTACACAAGTTGGAAGAGTTGCTGAGAGAGCCACTCTGTTGCATCCCCGCAATTATGTTTCAGAACAGGCAAATAATCCAGTGTGGCTGCAGCCTGGTACCCTGGGAACAGTTTACTATAGATGAGACTGGAGAAGTAGGTAGCAGCCAGTTATAAAGGGTCTGCGATGGCATGGTAGGGGTAAAAAGAATTCACTTTCCTTCAACAGGGGAGCCTGTGAATCTTTAAGCAAGGACATGATATAATCAAATCTGAATTTTAGAAAGATTTAAACAAATCTAAATTCGAATTGAAATTTATACGTTTAAACAAAGTATATTATATTTTTATTGCTTTGTGATAAGTTACCACAAACTTAGTAGCTTAAAATGCGCACTATTTTGTAGGTCAGAAGTCTGAGAGGGCACTCTGGATGGGTTCTCTGAAAGGGACAAAGTTAAGATGTTGGTGAAACTGGATTCTTATGGAAAGGCCTTAGGGAAGAATCCATTTTCCAAACTTCAGGAGGGTGGGTGAATCCATTGCCCTGTGGCTTAGGATTGTGGTCTCCAGTTTCTTTCTTGCTATCAGTAGGAGACCTCTCTCAGTTCCTGGAACTCACCTTTCACAGGGTTCTTTTCATCTCGGCAATGGAGAATTGCCCTGGACATCCTTTTTTGTGCTTTGAACCTCCCTGGAAAAAATCTCTTTGTTGGTAAAGGGATCATGCAGTTAAATGTGGCCCACCCAGATAATCTATCTTACTGGTAAGGTTAACAAATTAGTAAACTTAATTGCATCTGCAAGATCCCTTTGTTACATATCCTATATAATAAAAGTGTAATATGCAAATTGACCCAATGGCAGAACAACCGGGGGGCGGGGCTGGCGTGCAGGTGCCAGGCCAGCCAAGGCATGTTAGCGGGCAGAGGGAAGGGACAGCGATGGGGTGGAGGGGCAGTGACCAGCTGCAGGTGATGGGGGCCAGTGCTATATCCCCTGATCGTCCGCTCAGTTGCCTCCCGCAGAGGGAGGCCACCGGTGGCAGTGGTGCAATGGAGGGCAGGGCCAGCCGCTCACTGCCCATGCTGTCCCCTGATTTGCCCACTGGTCACCTCCTGCAGAGGGAGGCCAGACTGTTAGACATCCCCTGAGGGCTTCCAGACTGTAAGAGGGCACAGGTCAGCTGAGGAACCCCCCTGAGTGCATGAATTTTTGTGCACTGGGCCTCTAGTGATAATATCCCTGGAGTGACAGTTTATCATATTCATAGTTTCTGCACACAGGGGAGATGATAAAAGGATGACAGTCAGTGGAGACATTCTTAGAATTCTACTTTCCACAAGTAGAAGGTGAGGAAAGATTGTAGGTTGCTCACCAATTATGGTTGCCTCTACCTACTGGTCTTAAATAACAGGCTGGATACTTAAGGGTCCTTAGCAGTTCATGTATCAGCATATAATCACATCTGAAGGGGGCTTTCACCTAGACTTTCAAGAAGACAATACAATAGAAGGAATTGTTGCACATGACTGAGCTTAGGCTGCATAATGGGAAATCATGTACAACTTTCTACAAGTAGTATGGAGTATATTTCTATAATAGTTTCTAATTTGATATCACTAAATAGTTGGTGACTACATCTAATCTGTGAGCTGAGGGAAAGGTCTTTGATCTGTTCCTGAACTGTGAGTTCCCCGTTGCTCCTCTGTTCCTTCCTTCAGCTATTTGTCTGGAAGGCTAGATACCTCTTTCTGGGCCCTCATTACCCAGTCATGGCCTTTACTTCTGCATTTGCTCGAAACTCCATCTTTAAGCTCTAAATCTCATGGATCCCTTTGCTGTATCCAATATACTTCAAGGTGATAGCTGCCTCTTTATTTCTTAAAACAAACAAACAAAAACACCACTACTACCACAATAACAAAAACAAAACAAAACAAACAAACCCTCATTTTTTATTGCATCCGATAATTAATAGAAATGGTTTAGAAAGTCTTTGCTTTTAAACTAAAGAACATTGGCTATACCTGAAAATACACACCATAAGGAGAAAGGAACTAGATGATTGAGACAAGGGATAGAAAAATGATTTCAAATACATAGTATTTAATTTCTAAAAGTCCTTATCTCTTTCCAATCTGCTTTTTATGCTGGATTGTCTCTTTTTCCTGTGCCCATCTTTGTGATTGTTTCCTTTATTTACTTATAACCACCTTCCTGCAGACCTTGAAGATCTGTTTGTTGTTTCTATAAACTGATGCATCATGGCTTGCACTGTGACCTTGTTTTTAATTGTGAACTTATTCTTCTGTGGGCCTGACTCAAGGCAGTTTTTGTTTAAACTATATGTGCTTTTGCTGTTACAGATGGCCACCAGCCTATACCTGCAGTTATCCTCTTTGAGGATATTGGCTTATTAGGGATGAATCAGTGTCACTATTTTTTCTCAGTTTCCTTTACTCAGACCTAAGCTCCCTTCCCTTCCTTCCCTTCCCTTCCCTTCCCTTCCCTTCCCTTCCCTTCCCTTCCCTTCCCTTCCCTTCCCTTCCCTTCCCTTCCCTTCCCTTCCCTTCCCTTCCCTTCCCTTCCCTTCCCTTCCCTTCCCTCCCCTCCCCTCCCCTCCCCTCCCCTCCCCTCCCCTCCCCTCCCCTCCCCTCCCCTCCCCTCCCCTCCCATCCCCTTCCCTCCCCTCTCCCCCTACTCTTTCTCCCTTCCTTCCTCCCTCCCTTCCTTTTTAAATTTATCTTTATTTATTTATTATTTTTAAAACGTATCTTTATTGTTGAAAGTATTATGTATGTCCCCCTTTCCCTCTGCTTTGTCCCTCTCCATCATGGTCCCTCATTTTTCTTTTCTTTATGGAGGGGAAGGGAAGGGAGTCCTTGAAGACTCCACTCCACTTACATCTAGTGAAAGCAGTGGGAGAGAATATCCTTAAGCCCACGGGCCATAATGCTATTTCAGAACACAAGATCAAGACTTCATTTAATTTGTGATAGAATTAATTTTTTTTTCTGGATGCAACTTTTTTAATTTAAAATTTTCCCCTCCCTCCCTCCCTCCCTCCCTCCCTCCCTCCCTCCCTCCCTCCCTCCCTCCCTCCCTCCCTCCCTCCTTCCTTCCTTCCTTCCTTCCTTCCTTCCTTCCTTCCTTCCTTCCTTCCTTCCTCCCATTTTCCAACCATTGATTTTGGCAGAAGACATATGATTACTAAGGGAATGGGAATGTTGATCAAGGCATTTAGGTTGATAGAACTACCAGAAATAAAAGAAAGCTGAATGTATATTTTATTTTACTTTAAATAAGAAATAGGATAGTAAGCCAGCTGGTGTTGCTCAGTGGTTGAGTGTCAACCCAGGAACAAGAGGTCATGAGTTCGATTGCTGGGTTGGGCACATACTGGGTTTGCTGGCTCAATCCCCAGTAGGGGGCATGCAGGAGGCAGCCAATAGATGATTTCTCTCTCATGGATGTTTCTGTTTCTTAATCACTCTCCCTTCTCTTCTCTAAAAATCAATGAATGAATGAATAAATAAATAAATAAATAAGGTAGTAGAACGACAACACTTCATATTTATAAAAACACAGGGGCCTTTTATTTATGGCAAATTACATTTCTAAAAAATATTTCATGAAGAATGATTACTTTGATTCTGATTTTCTGTAGAAACAATGCTATATAATGAATAACATTTCAGATTTGACACTTAAAAATGTTCATCAATGATCTACTTAAGTGCACCTAGCACATTAAGACCAGAATTTGACATCTCCTCTTTGTGATTGTCTTGAGTACCTTGTACATTCTTAAAGTAATTGTATACAAGTCTGTCTCCCTAATTGAAGAGTTCACCTCTGAGGATATGGGAATATATTTCACTCATATTTATATCCTGAGTATTTTTGTATTTCTGGCACAGAATAGTTATGCAATAATTGTTTATTAAATAAAAATCCAAAGAAATATCTGTTTAGAAAAAATTTCTGGGAAAATAAAGCTTATACTTAAAAATGTTGGAATTTATTAGTACTAAGACACATTTTTCTTAAATAAAAAAATGATCCTTACAATATATACTTCTTTTTTTTTCCTTTTTTTCTTTATTTTGGTGCCCTTGACTGGAATCGAACCTGGGACCCTTCAGTCCGCAGGCCGATGCTCTATCCACTGAGCCAAACCAGTCAGGGCAATATATACTTCTTATCTCCAGTCACTGTAGTTCTGATTAGAATGTAATGAAATTGAATTTCAAAGAGAATATTAAATCATAAGGAAATAGAAATATTCTCAAGGAGAAGTAAAATAAGACTTAAAGTTCAACTAGAGCTATATAAATAAATGATTCAGTACTAAAAACAGAAAAAAGAAGTTGATGCAATTTTGACATTCTTTCTTAACATAAATTTCCATTACCTGATTTAAAAAGTTGTGACCAGTGATGAGAAAACTGAGAGCTCAGTGCCAAATATCAGTTGTGGACCTTCAATTATGTCTCAGAAATGAAGACTTTTATTTTTATAATTACTGGGGACCTGTGAAGATTGTTAAAATTCCTGGAGTGTCCAGTCTTGCTATTTTCTGGTTTTGTGTTAGTGGAAAAGTCTCTCAAATTTTCCACTGTGAGGAACATTTACCCAATTGCTGTCAATCTTGGGTATATTTGTTCCTCATTTACAGCCTACACACACTCAAGCACGTAATCCAAACCCCAAAGTACTCCTTTTGTGTATTTTCAAGACATGTTTTCTGCACAAGGAATCTAATTTCCGAGATTCTCTTGGTAGACAGCAAAATGATATTTTGAGATGAAGAAAATGGTCGAAAGTGGTTTTGTTTTTGAAGAAACACCAGTTGCCAGGCAGGTACATAGTTACTGCTATACTTAAGGCACTAGAGCAACAGCAAAAGTTATTAATTTTTTATCTTCTTAAGCAATAAAAAATTTGAGTTCTTGATGTGTTGTTTAGATGGTAGTTGTAATTTTGTATACCTTGCACAACATTCGCCCTCTCTGAATTTGGATGCAAGTTCTAAAACTCTTAAAGATTCTATCTCTGAAGAGAGTTATCTAGTTCATTTAATTTCCCAAGTATCAAGTATTCCACTTAATAGATGATTTTGGTCAAATTTGAATTCTCCTTTGTGTCTCTTTAAACTCTTTGCTATTTATCTTCTTCAGCTCATTGAACCTAAGAGTTGGAGGGAACATTATAGGTCATATAATCCAGATTCCCAGGAAATGTGACCTACTGTATCACAGTTCTGACAAATTTTGCTTTACCCAGTGAAAACTCCTCTCCATCCTTAATCCTTTCTATGACAAGGTACTATGATAATTAAGAAATTATCTAAGCTTTAGCTGAAACCTGCCCCTCCCAACTATCACCTATTTATTCTAGTTGTGCTTTGTAATCTGAGGCTGTTAGTCAAGTTCTTTTTTCACAGCTTTTTACAGTCATTTAATTTTACTCCTCATTCCCATACATTATTCACGTTGTTGGTTCTACAGATGCTCAGTTCTCATAAAGGAGTGTAAACCAAGGTGATGTGTCAGCTCTAAGGTGATTTTAGAATGGAGGCTATTTTTCATCATCGTTATTAATATAGAATAAGGTATCATCCTCTGTAATCTGTAGATTTATACTTTTTATGAGCTTTTGGTCTCCTTGTTCTTTATCCTCTTAGTTAGAAACAGATGAGCAGTTAGTACTTTGCTGTTTGTCTACTAGATCAAAGGACTTCAACTCTTGTTGGTTGTAAGTGAAAAATCTTAAACGAGTTATTAGGTTTTAGTTTTATGAATCTAATATTTATTTACATAAATATAAGCAGAATATTAGCATATTGTAGTTGTTTTTTCCTAATTTTATTTTTTCTATTTTATTTTTTACTTATTTGTAATCTAAAAATAAATTGGAAGAAGGAAGATTGGGGCAGAAAATGCTCTATTTTTAATTTTCAAAACAACTTTGTTAGGTAGATAGTTTTATTTCCATTTTACAGATGAGGAAACTGATTTTTTAGAGAAGGTACTAAGTCTACATATCTAATAAGTGGTCTTTAAGAAAAAAATCTTTACAATCAGGAAAAGGCACAGTGCTGCAACTGGAAGGACTATGAAACAACACGAACATGAGAAAATAACACACACAGGTCTCCTATTTTATTAGAACTTGGGGAAAGAAGCAAATCCAGGATAAGGTAGAAAGAAATTTTCAAGATTATAAAGCTATACAAAATTAAACCACCCCTGGCCAGTAGCTCATTTGGTTAGACTAGAGTGTCATCCCAATACACCAAGGTTGCGGGTTCAATCCCAGGTCAGGGCACATACAAGAATCAGTCAATGAATGCATAAGTAAGTGGAACAACAAATTGATGTTTCTCTCTCTCTCTCTCTCCCTCCCCTCTCCCTCTCCCTCTCCTCTCCTTCTCCTTCTATCTCAAACCAATAAACAAAAACTTAAAAAAATTAAAACCAATAGTTATTTCTAGAAGATTGCAGAAAAAGAAAAAAAAATGAGAAATGTTGAGCTTCATGAAATAGCTCAGTTAAAAGATAATATAATGATATTAATAACTAGTAATAATACATTAATAAATATTAAAATGAATATAAACAAGTATGCAAATAAAATAATATGTCTTGTTTTATAATTTACAAATTTATTTCTCATTTATTAAATAAATTACTTCATTTATTAAGTTAGTTATTCCAAAGAAACATGAAAATCTAATGTGGGTGAAACAAAATTAGTTAAATAATTCATGTGTGGTTTTTGATATTGAGATTTGTCTTCAGAATC